TCTCTCTCTCTCTCTCTCACCATTTAAGAGTCCGCGTCTCGATGCAGTTTTCTCGTTCACTTAGACGAGATAGACCCAAACAACTCCAGTCGCCACTACTTTTCCCCTATGAATTGATTTCTCATGTTATTCCATTAAGTAAACATATCGATTTGACCAGTAATGTGAAGTGCATTTGGAAATGACAAATCGCCATAATTATGTCCATCCATTTTAAATGAAATAAATATATAATGTGGTGGGGCTAAAGATTCTAACCGCATTGAACATTATTGGATTTGTACAACTGAAGTCTTATGCAAATTGATAACCATTTATATGAGCATTTTTATCACTTATTTATGGAGATATTTCCTTTGCTGTTTTTACCATAGTCAACATGGGTTGATTATAGTAGCACATTATTTTCAAAGGATGTCTGCTTAAACCACCGAGGAGAACTGTAATACCTGTAGAAATATCTATCTATCAGTCTTCCCATTCATCTCAATGACATTTGCTCGACTGGTGCAAGATGTACACGATTTCAAATCTACCATTTTTCCTCATGGGCGCACGATTCTGCTGCCAGGTTATTTTGAGCCAACCATCTAATTACAGCAACAGACAAGGAAAATGGTTTTTAAGAGCCCTCCAAGAATCATTAGAAAACATCTAGGCTACTCATGAACAATAAAACAATATTAAATAGTCACTGAAATATTCTGAAAATATTAAAAAATTATTTATCATAATATATGGCTACTTTTCAATGGCCACCATTAAGGTCATGCTAACCAGCCAAACTTTGACTGTTTAAAAAACACAAGTGGCTAGCTCCCACATGAGCACGATTAAATGACTGAATTCATATCCTAAACTAGTTAATCCATCAAGCTAATGGCATAGCAATGTTTAGGAAGGAAGGACTTTTTTTATTGTGAAACATAATGATAGGATTGAACACTTCTCCAGAGCGAGTGCACCCTTTACAACATGTTGCTTCCTCTTTAATCCTATTGTTGCAGGGCAATCTTTGGTGATTAGATAATTAACCTTCGCTTTCATGCCCACCCTTTGGCTTTCAAATCAAAGTCACATGTTTTAGCCTGAAGACAGAATCTCTAGTTAATGTTTAGTTAATCCAGTGATTCCCAATCCTGGCCCTGGAGGCAACGCTACAATACACATTTGGATGTGTTCCTTATCTGAAACAACGATTTCAAGTCTTGGGAAGTCTTGGTCTACTTACAAACTAATGAGTAGAATCAGGTCTATTTGATTAGAGAAACATCCACAAGATGTACTGTAGGGTGGCCTCCAGGAACAGGGTTGGGTTGAATTAATCTCTAGTTACTGAGCAACCTTCGACTGTATTAACGCAATACCCAAATGCCCTTAAACATCAAAGCATGTATGTTGCTCTTCTAGATCTCTCATGCGTCTGTCTCATCTGTCTCTCATTTCCTCTGTAAACTTGACAGCGGCGATATTGATACTTCACTCATAATTAGATTGCACTCACTCATGAATCGCTGTGACGAAAGACTTTTGCTTTTTTCCCCGCAATGATCCTGTTTACATTAACTCACTGCTGTGATAATGGAGGTTTCTGTCTTCTTTAAAGATCACAGATCTCGGCACCGCTGGGGACACGAAGTACAGCATTAGTTTTATGTATACATTGACATAACCAATAGACAGACGATGAAATATGCAAGTGGGCGTGGAAGGTTGTCTGTTGGACTTTTGTATGGATTGAATATTGGATTCATCACACTGACTTCACCACTGACGATAAATACCGCTGACTGAATTACTGCAGGCTCCCATTTACATTCCCAATGTGCACCTTAATGGAAATGTCAAGCACTTTCGATTTATTCTGCTTATTCTGGATCAGAATAGGCAAACTCACAGCTCACTTACCCTTCTTTCTCCTTTCACCCCATAAGTTAGCCTGAAATATCACACCTTACACTGTGATAATGTACACTGTAAAAAATGACCGTGAATTTAACGGTAAAAGACTGTAAAAATGCTACAGTAAAAACCCGTTAAATGGCTAACGGTAAATTCCCCTACTATATACGGTGAAAAACTGTATTCGACATTACATGTATTGGACATTAATTTTACGGTAGTATACCGTATTTGGAAGTGAAAAAGACCATATAATTTACAGCGAATAACCGTAATTTTACGGAATTTTTTTTACAGTGTATCTTAGTCAAAATAATAAGGCCAGTGTTCAGAGTGCATCTGGTACGGCGCATCTTCAGCGAGCAGTTTGTCTGCTCCTATTTTCACTTTGCGATGAGAGTATGCTACTTCTCAGCCCACTCAGAAGCACACATGCATAGACCAGCGCTGAAACATGAAAGGCGATTTCTCAATGTAATGCCAAAAAAGCTTTTCGTCTGGCTGGTGGCCCAAACCGTAGTCTTAGCATGAGGGCACCATTGCTTTTGGGAAAAGGCTGTAAAATATTAATTTGATCCTCCGAGGAATGGACTAATGAATGCAATGTAAGTCCAGCGCCTGTATCACAGAACAGTAAATGTGGAATGCACTTCGGCTTGATTGATGTGTAACCGCCTCCTACACTAGGATATGTGGTATGTTTTGTCGCTTGGCATCTGAAGAAGCCGGATATTAGTCCAGAACGAGGCATGCCTATTTTCAGTCTTTTCTGCAGCTCTGTGCAAGGAGGCAGCACTTTGTTCTTCTTGTTTACCAGGCTATTACCTGGATCTGTTCACTTCCTTAAACACCCTCTGCTAATAGATAGCCTGTGTGTGCATGGTGTGAGGGGAAATATGGACAGAGAGCAGTGCTAATCTCAACAACGAAATTACTGACGAACACGGTTATTAACAAAGGGTATTTGTTTCAAAAACAATAAAGAAGATGAGACAAAATATGCATCTTGGTGATAACAAATGATTTGAAATAAAACATACTGTTACCAAAAATACACTAACATTTTCAAATGCACTACCATTCAAATGTTTGGGGTTAGGATTTCTCTAATGCTCAACAAAGCTACATTTATTTGAGCAAAAATACAGAAAATATTATCACATTTTAAAATAACCTCTATTTGAATATATTCTCAAATGTAATTTATTCCTGTGATGATAAAGATTTCCAGCAGTCTCCAGTCTTCTGTGTCCTTCAGAACTCATTCTAATATGCTGATCTGATGCTCAAGAAACATTTCTTATTATTATCAATGTTGAAAAGAGTTGTGCTTTGTATAAACTCATTTTTTCAGGAATCTTTGATGAAAAGAAATATCAAAAGAACCACAATTATTTAAAATATTTTTTTAACATTATAGACATATTTACTCTCTTTTATCAATTTAATGCAACCCTGCCTCAGTAGAAGTATTATTTCTTTCAAAAACAAACATCTTACTGACCCCAAACTTTTGAATGTTAGTGTATGTTAAAATAATCTCACCCAAATGCAGAATATACACATTTAAGATTAAACATATATATATATATATATATATATATTAGGGGTGTAACGGTACACGTATTCGTACCGAACCGTTTCGG